AGAAAGTACAGATCGCATTCGCTCAATTAAAGTTGGCGGGGCGTGCAAAGACCTGGGCCTTGGGTCTTAAGTTTCACGACCCATATGTCCTTGGGTCGTATTTAAATCTTTTAGTCCCAGCTTAGGCAAACATTTGATCCTTTACGAGCTGAATTTAGGGCTCAACCTGAACTTCTGATGATCAAGCAAGGCAATTGTGACGTACACTCATCCATTCGATACATACGTCACCTAACCAGTTGTATAATAGTCGACCCACATGAACCTACAATCATGGATTACATTTTTCATGCAGGGTCTGACTGATGGCCCTGTTAAATCCCATAATCTCCGTTTGGACTTCAACACCCTGAAACAGGCTAAAAGAATCGTGAAACATGAGTTATTTAGCGTGAAACAAGCCCACGTAAGTTTGAGTTTCTATCCTACGTCGAGACGACGGGAAAATAGAGGCCTGGAACCAATGGACCTCTGTCATGCGGGAAGCGAGAGCGCTCGTGTTTACAACTACAAGATACTGCAAATCTGCAAAAGTTTCAATAAGACAGGGCATCATGCAAATGAATGCAGTGCCGCCCAACGCGAAACCACATACCGCAGGGAACAGAAACCGCCAAGCAGCCAAGCGGGGGTAAGGCGCGTGTCCGACGTTGCTGCAAAAACGCAACAACATAACGGTCAGCCAAAAAAGTTTAAAATTAGTAGGAGCGGAGCAATCAACTGATCTTGCAACGTCAAACGAGTTTAAAGGCCTCTTGACGAAGGTTGAACCCTAACACACATTTATTGTCTGTTTCTGCTGATGGTAATGAGGTTTTCCTTATTACCTTGAAAATCGAATTAACACGAAGCATGTCGCTTCGAGCCCTATTCGATTGTAATGCGTGGAACAGTTTTGGACAACGCCAATCTTTACACATCAGATAGCTCGCATCTATCGAGCGCGAGCCCCTCCAACGAGAATGACGATGCACCTCGCTACAGGCGCATCCGTAACGGTGCAAAAATGTGCAGTGGGTACCATCCATGCACTGAAGAGAGTCCAATACAATGATGATTTCATCCTGTAAACCTTAGACGACAATTGAGATGTTAATCTTAAACTGCCGTGCCAAGTTTACAAGCCACTAGTCAGCTGGCATCGACAAACAGTCGATTTGCCGGTCACTCGTCCATTACAAGGCCATCACATGAACGCCACTGAGCGTCCACTAACATGCGGGTGTACTACGATTAAGTGCGATGGACTCACGAGTGATACGGTCGTTAGCACAAATGAATTGAGACGCCGGTCGTGTCGAAGGCTCACAACCCGAATAAGTCGAGTGAACTAGGTCATGGATTATCTTCAAATGTTCAACACCCAAGTGAAAATGAACCGATTGCTAATGATTAATTAATTTATGGATCTTAATGCAATTGGAGAATTGCACGTGGAAGGCCTGGCCACGGTAGCGCAATCACGTCCAGAGGATAGTGAGGGAGCAGCTACACTCGTTTCATGTTATGATTTAGCCCTAGAGGCCAGTGAGCGAATTTTTAACCATTCAACTGTGAAAATATGTTCCCAGGAGATAAGAGAGACATCATATATTTGTTCAATTAAGGATTAAGTATAGACACTTACCAACTTGACCTGGTTGCGCCTCCGAAGATCAATTCGAAGGTCACTTAATTTCTTACGCTCAATCGAAAGAGATTTTTGCATAATCTACTTAGTGGCAAGGTCAAGCAGATTTACATGCTCGTCGCGGATAGAGATTATGTAATCAACATTCGTTTGGCAATTTTATTTGCTGAGATTGAAGAATTTTCAGCACATCATCAATGGATGATCAAGTCCTCGACGAGCAGGCTCGTATTAAGCGATAAACAGACCAATCATGAAAATTGCTCAAGACAATTCTTTTACGATGATTTGACGAATTTAAGAGATGTTTCATAGAACTAAAGCCGTGCGAGTTACCCAACTATAAGGACACTCTTCATAAGATCGACATAAAACCAAGTTCAAAATACTGTGTCATGAAGCAGTGGCCACTACCTCGATAACAGGTACTAGCGATCGATTATTTTGTCGATCCTTTGGCAGCGAGCCATGTGAGGGTGTATATTTCTTCACAAAGCCCTCCGACCTTCTGTGTCGAAAGGCAATGGTAGAATTACGGATGTTACATGCGTTCAACAAATTAAATTTCACAACTGCATCGACTCAAACGCCGACATTAAGGAAGGATGTCATTTTGGATGGGATGGCAAAGAGTACATTTTTCTTTCGATGGATCTGATGAACGATTTGCATCAGATCCTTTTGCGCGAAAGAGACATCCTATACATTGCGGTAAGAACCCCAAGCGGTATAAAAAAATCTCCGATAATAATTTAAATTGATTTGGTGGTGGCTTCTCATGACACGAGGATTAGATAAGACCCCTGCTTCGTTCAACAGATTCGTTACAAATTCGTTGAGATCCGTGCGAGTTTTTGCTCCTATCTATTTCGATATAGTTTTCGTCCATAGCCGGGCTATAGATGGGCAGACGGATATTAAGGTCCACCTAATCCACGTGCCAAAAATACTTACACTGACGCGTGAGCATAATTTGTATGCCAATCTCGAGAAGTGCATATTTGCTGCTACCTGAATACCGCTTCTTGAATGCATCCTGGATAAGCACGACGTCCGGCCGATTTGGAAAGGATCAAGGCAATCACTGACTGGTCGGAGCCATTCGATATAAACGAGATTTAAAACCCTCTTAGTCTAAAAACGTATTTGCAAAAACACTCGGAAAATAACGCCAATATGAATGTCCATACCTCTCGTTTGTTCATGAAGTAGAATTGGGCGTGAAGGTCTAATTGCTAGCGGACTTTGGAAGGTATCAAGCAAAGCTTGGTGGGCTGGAAATTGCAGAGCAGAACAGACCATTTCATGTGGTCTGCATAGCAAATGATTTGATACCGGATGTGTGCTGATTCAGTATGACGCAGAAGGTGCTGAGGGTATCGTTTTTCATCATTCACGTCAGCTACAACCGGCTGAACGTATCTCTTTAGTCCAAAAAAAGGAACTCCTTGCCATGAGGTACGATTTGGCAGAATGTAGGTCGACATGCTGGGTGATAGACTCTACATCGTTTATACGTGCCTTGCCTCCTTACGCACGTCCAATTTCAGTCCGCATTTCCTAAAAAGAATGGATAGGTGGATGTCTTTTTCCGCGAAGTAAAACATCTCCGTGGAATACAAGCCAGTACGACAAAACTTCGTTGCTGATGCTTTGTCGTGCCGGCACGATTTCGAACTGGCTGCGCAACCTGAAACTGGTCCGGCCACTGTCGCGGTGATGACGTCGAGTGTCCTTTCTTCAACCTTATTCAAAGATGTGCGCTAAAGTTACAACCTGGTTGCATTGGGGTCGATGAATCATCTCGCAGCCACACTGCTAAGTCCCTAAACGGTAGTCCCCCGTAAATGGAGATCCATGGATAAATGTACATCCCACAACGGCTTACTCAAATATTGGTTTGCCACTTCGCATCATGTATAAGTACCACGATACACCTACTGGTGGACTTCGTGGTCGAGAGAAATCAAACACCTTAGAGTTAGTCGCAACTTTTACTGGACCAGCCAGTATCATTTCGCACGTAGATACGTACGCGCATGCGAACTATGTCAAAGAGTGAAATCTATTCCTCCGCTTCAGGCGCCATTAAAACCCTTACCCATCCCAGAAGAATGCTGGGTTCTGTCTCAATCGACTTCGTCATTGCATTTCCCGCAGACATGCACAAAAAGCAGATATTTCTGTAATTTTTGATAGGCCTAGAAAAATGGTACACCTTGACTTTGTACCCGATTTCATCAATGCATCGGCCTGTACTCGTGATTTCATTCACTCGATCTTTTGTCTTTAAGGGTTACCGCGTGAACTCGTCTCCAAATGAGATCCTCCGTTTACTAATGCATTTTGGCGATTCGTAATAATAAAACTCGGAACGCGCCTGCAATTTTAACCTCTGACCACTCTGGATCACATGGTCAGACAGAACGTGCCAACCACATAATTTAGGAGATCCTTCAAGAATATTTCCACTCGATCATGAATTGAATCGAATTTTTGCCCAGGGTCTAATTCGTCATTAACAACTCGATGCATGCATCGACGACGTGTACAACGTTCTACTCGAATATCTTGCGCAATCAGATTCTATCACTGTTCTATAGTGTAGCTCTCGATCTCGGAGGAGTTTAATCGTCTAATCGAACGCCAAATCGGGTCTTACGGATCGCTTGACCACGAGGTAACTACGTATGACGCCAATATCGACCGCTTCGACTTCGGTAAAGAATACGAAGGAAAGAGGAAAGATGTTCTTACTGACTATGTCACTGATCTCGCCACAGTGTGATCCAAGCGCACTGTAGCCAAAGACAGCGAGTCAGCATATCAATTAATACTTTCTCGCGAAACGGGTGTCCGTTTTTTTACAAGATTACATTGCAGAAGCGGTGGAATTCTAAAAGAAAAACGCTTACAAGTAAGAAAGAGCAAATGTTCTTTTATTTAATGAAGTTGGCCTAGTCCTATTATTTACGGCAAACCTGCCTCGACACATAGTGACTAACGTGGGTGGTAACAAGTTATAACATAAGTTCAACTGTCCATTTTTGCTGTGCTGCTTAGGCAACGCATACACAATAGCTTTGCCATGTAGGTTTATCACGCGTCATAATATCCACATTCGCCATAGCCGTATCACCAATACCTGACACTTCACCGGAAGTGTCAGGCATTGGTAAGACAGATACGGCTCGAACGTTTGCTGGTCAAATCCCGTTCTCGCGCTTGTTGTTGCTCTCATCATTGTCCGCTTGGTCAGATGTTCTGCGATTGTTGGGCTTCGAACGTCAAGAAGTGGTTGCATCGCATGACCCTCTCACCCTTGCTTTGCTTGTGGCTGTTGTCCACCGGTGGCCCAGTCGATTCAGCAATGCGCTCAAGGTGCATTCCACCTCTCTGTTTGTTTCGATGAACTAGCACTGATTTGGATGGATCGTCGCCCAAGCTTATCGTCTCATGATGTTCCTTCTTAAGTTTCTATTTCCACTGCATTGGTCGAACCCACCTGGGTTGCTTTGCGCCGTTTAAATTGACTAGCGTGATCGAATACCAACACCACATCCACGTTGCTCGATAGTGAAATGAATGCAACTAAGCGAATGCAGACAGCAGATGTAGTCTGAGCTCGTGATCGTACGAGTGGGAGTAGATCCTGCGAGCGATTGATTCGTGCAGTTCGTGTCGACTGTGTTTGTGAAGCGCGATGGGTGGGTTGGTCTTTTTTGTGACGGCTTGGTGTGAGATGTCCTTTCTGCGCGCGGGTAGCTCAGTGGTAGAGCGTTCGATTGCAGCTCGAATGGTCGCTGGTTCAATCCCGGTCTCGCGCTTGTTGTTGCTCTCACCATTGCCCGCTTGGTCGGATGTTCTGCGATTGTTGGGCTTCGAACGTCAAGAAGTGGTTGCATTGCATGACCCCTCTCACCCTTGCTTTGCTTGTGGCTGTTGTCCACCGGTGGCCCAGTCGATTCAGCAATGCGCTCAAGGTGCATTCCACCTCTCTGTTGGTTTCGATGAACTAGCACTGATTTGGATGGATCGTCGCCCAAGCTTATCGTCTCATGATGTGTCTTTGTTAAGTTTCTATTTCCACTGCATTGGTCGAACTCACCAGGGTTGCTTTGCGCCGTTTAAATTGACTAGCGTGATCGAATACCAACACCACATCCACGTTGCTCGATAGTGAAATGAATGCAACTAAGGGAATGCAGACAGCAGACGTAGTCTGAGCTCGTGATCGTACGAGTGGGGAGTAGATCCTGCGAGCGATTGATTCGTGCAGTTCGTGTCGACTGTGTTTGTGAAGCGCGATGGGTGGGTTGGTCTTTTTTTGTGACGGCTTGGTGTGAGATGTCCTTTCTGCGCGCGGGTAGCTCAGTGGTAGAGCGTTCGATTGCAGCTCGAATGGTCGCTGGTTCAATCCCGGTCTCGCGCTTGTTGTTGCTCTCACCATTGCCCGCTTGGTCGGATGTTCTGCGATTGTTGGGCTTCGAACGTCAAGAAGTGGTTGCATTGCATGACCCTCTCACCCTTGCTTTGCTTGTGGCTGTTGTCCACCGGTGGCCCAGTCGATTCAGCAATGCGCTCAAGGTGCATTCCACCTCTCTGTTGGTTTCGATGGACTACACTGATTTGGATGGATCGTCGCCCAAGCTTATCGTCTCATGATGTGTCTTTGTTAAGTTTCTATTTCCACTGCATTGCTCACCAGGGTTGCTTTGCGCCGTTTAAATTGACTAGCGTGATCGAATACCAACACCACATCCACGTTGCTCGATAGTGAAATGAATGCAACTAAGGGAATGCAGACAGCAGATGTAGTCTGAGCTCGTGATCGTACTAGTGGGAGTAGATCCTGCGAGCGATTGATTCGTGCAGTTCGTGTCGACTGTGTTTGTGAAGCGCGATGGGTGGGTTGGTCTTTTTTTGTGACGGCTTGGTGTGAGATGTCCTTTCTGCGCGCGGGTAGCTCAGTGGTAGAGCGTTCGATTGCAGCTCGAATGGTCGCTGGTTCAATCCCGGTCTCGCGCTTGTTGTTGCTCTCATCATTGCCCGCTTGGTCGGATGTTCTGCGATTGTTGGGCTTCGAACGTCAAGAAGTGGTTGCATTGCATGACCCTCTCACCCTTGCTTTGCTTGTGGCTGTTGTCCACCGGTGGCCCAGTCGATTCAGCAATGCGCTCAAGGTGCATTCCACCTCTCTGTTGGTTTCGATGAACTAGCACTGATTTGGATGGATCGTCGCCCAAGCTTATCGTCTCATGATGTGTCTTTGTTAAGTTTCTATTTCCACTGCATTGGTCGAACCCACCTGGGTTGCTTTGCGCCGTTTAAATTGACTAGCGTGATCGAATACCAACACCACATCCACGTTGCTCGATAGTGAAATGAATGCAACTAAGGGAATGCAGACAGCAGACGTAGTCTGAGCTCGTGATCGTACGAGTGGGAGTAGATCCTGCGAGCGATTGATTCGTGCAGTTCGTGTCGACTGTGTTTGTGAAGCGCGATGGGTGGGTTGGTCTTTTTTTTGTGACGGCTTGGTGTGAGATGTCCTTTCTGCGCGCGGGTAGCTCAGTGGTAGAGCGTTCGATTGCAGCTCGAATGGTCGCTGGTTCAATCCCGGTCTCGCGCTTGTTGTTGCTCTCACCATTGCCCGCTTGGTCGGATGTTCTGCGATTGTTGGGCTTCGAACGTCAAGAAGTGGTTGCATTGCATGACCCTCTCACCCTTGCTTTGCTTGTGGCTGTTGTCCACCGGTGGCCCAGTCGATTCAGCAATGCGCTCAAGGTGCATTCCACCTCTCTGTTGGTTTCGATGAACTAGCACTGATTTGGATGGATCGTCGCCCAAGCTTATCGTCTCATGATGTGTCTTTGTTAAGTATATATTTCCACTGCATTGCTCACCAGGGTTGCTTTGCGCCGTTTAAATTGACTAGCGTGATCGAATACCAACACCACATCCACGTTGCTCGATAGTGAAATGAATACAACTAAGGGAATGCAGACAGCAGACGTAGTCTGAGCTCGTGATCGTACGAGTGGGAGTAGATCCTGCGAGCGATTGATTCGTGCAGTTCGTGTCGACTGTGTTTGTGAAGCGCGATGGGTGGGTTGGTCTTTTTTGTGACGGCTTGGTGTGAGATGTCCTTTCTGCGCGCGGGTAGCTCAGTGGTAGAGCGTTCGATTGCAGCTCGAATGGTCGCTGGTTCAATCCCGGTCTCGCGCTTGTTGTTGCTCTCATCATTGCCCGCTTGGTCGGATGTTCTGCGATTGTTGGGCTTCGAACGTCAAGAAGTGGTTGCATTGCATGACCCTCTCACCCTTGCTTTGCTTGTGGCTGTTGTCCACCGGTGGCCCAGTCGATTCAGCAATGCGCTCAAGGTGCATTCCACCTCTCTGTTGGTTTCGATGAACTAGCACTGATTTGGATGGATCGTCGCCCAAGCTTATCGTCTCATGATGTGTCTTTGTTAAGTTTCTATTTCCACTGCATTGCTCACCAGGGTTGCTTTGCGCCGTTTAAATTGACTAGCGTGATCGAATACCAACACCACATCCACGTTGCTCGATAGTGAAATGAATGCAACTAAGGGAATGCAGACAGCAGACGTAGTCTGAGCTCGTGATCGTACGAGTGGGAGTAGATCCTGCGAGCGATTGATTCGTGCAGTTCGTGTCGACTGTGTTTGTGAAGCGCGATGGGTGGGTTGGTCTTTTTTTGTGACGGCTTGGTGTGAGATGTCCTTTCTGCGCGCGGGTAGCTCAGTGGTAGAGCGTTCGATTGCAGCTCGAATGGTCGCTGGTTCAATCCCGGTCTCGCGCTTGTTGTTGCTCTCATCATTGCCCGCTTGGTCGGATGTTCTGCGATTGTTGGGCTTCGAACGTCAAGAAGTGGTTGCATTGCATGACCCTCTCACCCTTGCTTTGCTTGTGGCTGTTGTCCACCGGTGGCCCAGTCGATTCAGCAATGCGCTCAAGGTGCATTCCACCTCTCTGTTGGTTTCGATGAACTAGCACTGATTTGGATGGATCGTCGCCCAAGCTTATCGTCTCATGATGTGTCTTTGTTAAGTTTCTATTTCCACTGCATTGGTCGAACCCACCTGGGTTGCTTTGCGCCGTTTAAATTGACTAGCGTGATCGAATACCAACACCACATCCACGTTGCTCGATAGTGAAATGAATGCAACTAAGGGAATGCAGACAGCAGACGTAGTCTGAGCTCGTGATCGTACGAGTGGGAGTAGATCCTGCGAGCGATTGATTCGTGCAGTTCGTGTCGACTGTGTTTGTGAAGCGCGATGGGTGGGTTGGTCTTTTTTTTGTGACGGCTTGGTGTGAGATGTCCTTTCTGCGCGCGGGTAGCTCAGTGGTAGAGCGTTCGATTGCAGCTCGAATGGTCGCTGGTTCAATCCCGGTCTCGCGCTTGTTGTTGCTCTCACCATTGCCCGCTTGGTCGGATGTTCTGCGATTGTTGGGCTTCGAACGTCAAGAAGTGGTTGCATTGCATGACCCTCTCACCCTTGCTTTGCTTGTGGCTGTTGTCCACCGGTGGCCCAGTCGATTCAGCAATGCGCTCAAGGTGCATTCCACCTCTCTGTTGGTTTCGATGAACTAGCACTGATTTGGATGGATCGTCGCCCAAGCTTATCGTCTCATGATGTGTCTTTGTTAAGTTTCTATTTCCACTGCATTGCTCACCAGGGTTGCTTTGCGCCGTTTAAATTGACTAGCGTGATCGAATACCAACACCACATCCACGTTGCTCGATAGTGAAATGAATGCAACTAAGGGAATGCAGACAGCAGACGTAGTCTGAGCTCGTGATCGTACGAGTGGGAGTAGATCCTGCGAGCGATTGATTCGTGCAGTTCGTGTCGACTGTGTTTGTGAAGCGCGATGGGTGGGTTGGTCTTTTTTTGTGACGGCTTGGTGTGAGATGTCCTTTCTGCGCGCGGGTAGCTCAGTGGTAGAGCGTTCGATTGCAGCTCGAATGGTCGCTGGTTCAATCCCGGTCTCGCGCTTGTTGTTGCTCTCATCATTGCCCGCTTGGTCGGATGTTCTGCGATTGTTGGGCTTCGAACGTCAAGAAGTGGTTGCATTGCATGACCCTCTCACCCTTGCTTTGCTTGTGGCTGTTGTCCACCGGTGGCCCAGTCGATTCAGCAATGCGCTCAAGGTGCATTCCACCTCTCTGTTGGTTTCGATGAACTAGCACTGATTTGGATGGATCGTCGCCCAAGCTTATCGTCTCATGATGTGTCTTTGTTAAGTTTCTATTTCCACTGCATTGGTCGAACCCACCTGGGTTGCTTTGCGCCGTTTAAATTGACTAGCGTGATCGAATACCAACACCACATCCACGTTGCTCGATAGTGAAATGAATGCAACTAAGGGAATGCAGACAGCAGACGTAGTCTGAGCTCGTGATCGTACGAGTGGGAGTAGATCCTGCGAGCGATTGATTCGTGCAGTTCGTGTCGACTGTGTTTGTGAAGCGCGATGGGTGGGTTGGTCTTTTTTTGTGACGGCTTGGTGTGAGATGTCCTTTCTGCGCGCGGGTAGCTCAGTGGTAGAGCGTTCGATTGCAGCTCGAATGGTCGCTGGTTCAATCCCGGTCTCGCGCTTGTTGTTGCTCTCATCATTGCCCGCTTGGTCGGATGTTCTGCGATTGTTGGGCTTCGAACGTCAAGAAGTGGTTGCATTGCATGACCCTCTCACCCTTGCTTTGCTTGTGGCTGTTGTCCACCGGTGGCCCAGTCGATTCAGCAATGCGCTCAAGGTGCATTCCACCTCTCTGTTGGTTTCGATGAACTAGCACTGATTTGGATGGATCGTCGCCCAAGCTTATCGTCTCATGATGTGTCTTTGTTAAGTTTCTATTTCCACTGCATTGCTCGACCCACCTGGGTTGCTTTGCGCCGTTTAAATTGACTAGCGTGATCGAATACCAACACCACATCCACGTTGCTCGATAGTGAAATGAATGCAACTAAGGGAATGCAGACAGCAGACGTAGTCTGAGCTCGTGATCGTACGAGTGGGAGTAGATCCTGCGAGCGATTGATTCGTGCAGTTCGTGTCGACTGTGATTGTGAAGCGCGATGGGTGGGTTGGTCTTTTTTTGTGACGGCTTGGTGTGAGATGTCCTTTCTGCGCGCGGGTAGCTCAGTGGTAGAGCGTTCGATTGCAGCTCGAATGGTCGCTGGTTCAATCCCGGTCTCGCGCTTGTTGATGCTCTCACCATTGCCCGCTTGGTCGGATGTTCTGCGATTGTTGGGCTTCGAACGTCAAGAAGTGGTTGCATTGCATGACCCTCTCACCCTTGCTTTGCTTGTGGCTGTTGTCCACCGGTGGCCCAGTCGATTCAGCTATGCGCTCAAGGTGCATTCCACCTCTCTGTTGGTTCCGATGAACTAGCACTGATTTGGATGGATCGTCGCCCAAGCTTATCGTCTCATGATGTGTCTTTGTTAAGTTTCTATTTCCACTGCATTGCTCACCAGGGTTGCTTTGCGCCGTTTAAATTGACTAGCGTGATCGAATACCAACACCACATCCACGTTGCTCGATAGTGAAATGAATGCAACTAAGGGAATGCAGACAGCAGACGTAGTCTGAGCTCGTGATCGTACGAGTGGGAGTAGATCCTGCGAGCGATTGATTCGTGCAGTTCGTGTCTCTGTGTTTGTGAAGCGCGATGGGTGGGTTGGTCTTTTTTGTGACGGCTTGGTGTGAGATGTCCTTTCTGCGCGCGGGTAGCTCAGTGGTAGAGCGTTCGATTGCAGCTCGAATGGTCGCTGGTTCAATCCCGGTCTCGCGCTTGTTGTTGCTCTCAACATTGCCCGCTTGGTCGGATGTTCTGCGATTGTTGGGCTTCGAACGTCAAGAAGTGGTTGCATTGCATGACCCTCTCACCCTTGCTTTGCTTGTGGCTGTTGTCCACCGGTGGCCCAGTCGATTCAGCAATGCGCTCAAGGTGCATTCCACCTCTCTGTTGGTTTCGATGAACTAGCACTGATTTGGATGGATCGTCGCCCAAGCTTATCGTCTCATGATGTGTCTTTGTTAAGTTTCTATTTCCACTGCATTGGTCGAACCCACCTGGGTTGCTTTGCGCCGTTTAAATTGACTAGCGTGATCGAATACCAACACCACATCCACGTTGCTCGATAGTGAAATGAATGCAACTAAGGGAATGCAGACAGCAGACGTAGTCTGAGCTCGTGATCGTACTAGTGGGAGTAGATCCTGCGAGCGATTGATTCGTGCAGTTCGTGTCGACTGTGTTTGTGAAGCGCGATGGGTGGGTTGGTCTTTTTTTTGTGACGGCTTGGTGTGAGATGTCCTTTCTGCGCGCGGGTAGCTCAGTGGTAGAGCGTTCGATTGCAGCTCGAATGGTCGCTGGTTCAATCCCGGTCTCGCGCTTGTTGTTGCTCTCACCATTGCCCGCTTGGTCGGATGTTCTGCGATTGTTGGGCTTCGAACGTCAAGAAGTGGTTGCATTGCATGACCCTCTCACCCTTGCTTTGCTTGTGGCTGTTGTCCACCGGTGGCCCAGTCGATTCAGCAATGCGCTCAAGGTGCATTCCACCTCTCTGTTGGTTTCGATGAACTAGCACTGATTTGGATGGATCGTCGCCCAAGCTTATCGTCTCATGATGTGTCTTTGTTAAGTTTCTATTTCCACTGCATTGGTCGAACCCACCTGGGTTGCTTTGCGCCGTTTAAATTGACTAGCGTGATCGAATACCAACACCACATCCACGTTGCTCGATAGTGAAATGAATGCAACTAAGGGAATGCAGACAGCAGACGTAGTCTGAGCTCGTGATCGTACTAGTGGGAGTAGATCCTGCGAGCGATTGATTCGTGCAGTTCGTGTCGACTGTGTTTGTGAAGCGCGATGGGTGGGTTGGTCTTTTTTTGTGACGGCTTGGTGTGAGATGTCCTTTCTGCGCGCGGGTAGCTCAGTGGTAGAGCGTTCGATTGCAGCTCGAATGGTCGCTGGTTCAATCCCGGTCTCGCGCTTGTTGTTGCTCTCACCATTGCCCGCTTGGTCGGATGTTCTGCGATTGTTGGGCTTCGAACGTCAAGAAGTGGTTGCATTGCATGACCCTCTCACCCTTGCTTTGCTTGTGGCTGTTGTCCACCGGTGGCCCAGTCGATTCAGCAATGCGCTCAAGGTGCATTCCACCTCTCTGTTGGTTTCGATGAACTAGCACTGATTTGGATGGATCGTCGCCCAAGCTTATCGTCTCATGATGTGTCTTTGTTAAGTTTCTATTTCCACTGCATTGGTCGAACCCACCTGGGTTGCTTTGCGCCGTTTAAATTGACTAGCGTGATCGAATACCAACACCACATCCACGTTGCTCGATAGTGAAATGAATGCAACTAAGGGAATGCAGACAGCAGACGTAGTCTGAGCTCGTGATCGTACTAGTGGGAGTAGATCCTGCGAGCGATTGATTCGTGCAGTTCGTGTCGACTGTGTTTGTGAAGCGCGATGGGTGGGTTGGTCTTTTTTTGTGACGGCTTGGTGTGAGATGTCCTTTCTGCGCGCGGGTAGCTCAGTGGTAGAGCGTTCGATTGCAGCTCGAATGGTCGCTGGTTCAATCCCGGTCTCGCGCTTGTTGTTGCTCTCACCATTGCCCGCTTGGTCGGATGTTCTGCGATTGTTGGGCTTCGAACGTCAAGAAGTGGTTGCATTGCATGACCCTCTCACCCTTGCTTTGCTTGTGGCTGTTGTCCACCGGTGGCCCAGTCGATTCAGCAATGCGCTCAAGGTGCATTCCACCTCTCTGTTTGTTTCGATGAACTAGCACTGATTTGGATGGATCGTCGCCCAAGCTTATCGTCTCATGATGTGTCTTTGTTAAGTTTCTATTTCCACTGCATTGGTCGAACCCACCTGGGTTGCTTTGCGCCGTTTAAATTGACTAGCGTGATCGAATACCAACACCACATCCACGTTGCTCGATAGTGAAATGAATGCAACTAAGGGAATGCAGACAGCAGACGTAGTCTGAGCTCGTGATCGTACTAGTGGGAGTAGATCCTGCGAGCGATTGATTCGTGCAGTTCGTGTCGACTGTGTTTGTGAAGCGCGATGGGTGGGTTGGTCTTTTTTTGTGACGGCTTGGTGTGAGATGTCCTTTCTGCGCGCGGGTAGCTCAGTGGTAGAGCGTTCGATTGCAGCTCGAATGGTCGCTGGTTCAATCCCGGTCTCGCGCTTGTTGTTGCTCTCACCATTGCCCGCTTGGTCGGATGTTCTGCGATTGTTGGGCTTCGAACGTCAAGAAGTGGTTGCATTGCATGACCCTCTCACCCTTGCTTTGCTTGTGGCTGTTGTCCACCGGTGGCCCAGTCGATTCAGCAATGCGCTCAAGGTGCATTCCACCTCTCTGTTTGTTTCGATGAACTAGCACTGATTTGGATGGATCGTCGCCCAAGCTTATCGTCTCATGATGTGTCTTTGTTAAGTTTCTATTTCCACTGCATTGGTCGAACCCACCTGGGTTGCTTTGCGCCGTTTAAATTGACTAGCGTGATCGAATACCAACACCACATCCACGTTGCTCGATAGTGAAATGAATGCAACTAAGGGAATGCAGACAGCAGACGTAGTCTGAGCTCGTGATCGTACTAGTGGGAGTAGATCCTGCGAGCGATTGATTCGTGCAGTTCGTGTCGACTGTGTTTGTGAAGCGCGATGGGTGGGTTGGTCTTTTTTTGTGACGGCTTGGTGTGAGATGTCCTTTCTGCGCGCGGGTAGCTCAGTGGTAGAGCGTTCGATTGCAGCTCGAATGGTCGCTGGTTCAATCCCGGTCTCGCGCTTGTTGTTGCTCTCACCATTGCCCGCTTGGTCGGATGTTCTGCGATTGTTGGGCTTCGAACGTCAAGAAGTGGTTGCATTGCATGACCCTCTCACCCTTGCTTTGCTTGTGGCTGTTGTCCACCGGTGGCCCAGTCGATTCAGCAATGCGCTCAAGGTGCATTCCACCTCTCTGTTTGTTTCGATGAACTAGCACTGATTTGGATGGATCGTCGCCCAAGCTTATCGTCTCATGATGTGTCTTTGTTAAGTTTCTATTTCCACTGCATTGGTCGAACCCACCTGGGTTGCTTTGCGCCGTTTAAATTGACTAGCGTGATCGAATACCAACACCACATCCACGTTGCTCGATAGTGAAATGAATGCAACTAAGGGAATGCAGACAGCAGACGTAGTCTGAGCTCGTGATCGTACGAGTGGGAGTAGATCCTGCGAGCGATTGATTCGTGCAGTTCGTGTCGACTGTGTTTGTGAAGCGCGATGGGTGGGTTGGTCTTTTTTTGTGACGGCTTGGTGTGAGATGTCCTTTCTGCGCGCGGGTAGCTCAGTGGTAGAGCGTTCGATTGCAGCTCGAATGGTCGCTGGTTCAATCCCGGTCTCGCGCTTGTTGTTGCTCTCACCATTGCCCGCTTGGTCGGATGTTCTGCGATTGTTGGGCTTCGAACGTCAAGAAGTGGTTGCATTGCATGACCCTCTCACCCTTGCTTTGCTTGTGGCTGTTGTCCACCGGTGGCCCAGTCGATTCAGCAATGCGCTCAAGGTGCATTCCACCTCTCTGTTGGTTTCGATGAACTAGCACTGATTTGGATGGATCGTCGCCCAAGCTTATCGTCTCATGATGTGTCTTTGTTAAGTTTCTATTTCCACTGCATTGCTCACCAGGGTTGCTTTGCGCCGTTTAAATTGACTAGCGTGATCGAATACCAACACCACATCCACGTTGCTCGATAGTGAAATGAATGCAACTAAGGGAATGCAGACAGCAGACGTAGTCTGAGCTCGTGATCGTACGAGTGGGAGTAGATCCTGCGAGCGATTGATTCGTGCAGTTCGTGTCGACTGTGTTTGTGAAGCGCGATGGGTGGGTTGGTCTTTTTTTGTGACGGCTTGGTGTGAGATGTCCTTTCTGCGCGCGGGTAGCTCAGTGGTAGAGCGTTCGATTGCAGCTCGAATGGTCGCTGGTTCAATCCCGGTCTCGCGCTTGTTGTTGCTCTCACCATTGCCCGCTTGGTCGGATGTTCTGCGATTGTTGGGCTTCGAACGTCAAGAAGTGGTTGCATTGCATGACCCTCTCACCCTTGCTTTGCTTGTGGCTGTTGTCCACCGGTGGCCCAGTCGATTCAGCAATGCGCTCAAGGTGCATTCCACCTCTCTGTTTGTTTCGATGAACTAGCACTGATTTGGATGGATCGTCGCCCAAGCTTATCGTCTCATGATGTGTCTTTGTTAAGTTTCTATTTCCACTGCATTGGTCGAACCCACCTGGGTTGCTTTGCGCCGTTTAAATTGACTAGCGTGATCGAATACCAACACCACATCCACGTTGCTCGATAGTGAAATGAATGCAACTAAGGGAATGCAGACAGCAGACGTAGTCTGAGCTCGTGATCGTACTAGTGGGAGTAGATCCTGCGAGCGATTGATTCGTGCAGTTCGTGTCGACTGTGTTTGTGAAGCGCGATGGGTGGGTTGGTCTTTTTTTGTGACGGCTTGGTGTGAGATGTCCTTTCTGCGCGCGGGTAGCTCAGTGGTAGAGCGTTCGATTGCAGCTCGAATGGTCGCTGGTTCAATCCCGGTCTCGCGCTTGTTGTTGCTCTCACCATTGCCCGCTTGGTCGGATGTTCTGCGATTGTTGGGCTTCGAACGTCAAGAAGTGGTTGCATTGCATGACCCTCTCACCCTTGCTTTGCTTGTGGCTGTTGTCCACCGGTGGCCCAGTCGATTCAGCAATGCGCTCAAGGTGCATTCCACCTCTCTGTTGGTTTCGATGAACTAGCACTGATTTGGATGGATCGTCGCCCAAGCTTATCGTCTCATGATGTGTCTTTGTTAAGTTTCTATTTCCACTGCATTGCTCGAACCCACCTGGGTTGCTTTGCGCCGTTTAAATTGACTAGCGTGATCGAATACCAACACCACATCCACGTTGCTCGATAGTGAAATGAATGCAACTAAGGGAATGCAGACAGCAGACGTAGTCTGAGCTCGTGATCGTACGAGTGGGAGTAGATCCTGCGAGCGATTGATTCGTGCAGTTCGTGTCGACTGTGTTTGTGAAGCGCGATGGGTGGGTTGGTCTTTTTTTGTGACGGCTTGGTGTGAGATGTCCTTTCTGCGCGCGGGTAGCTCAGTGGTAGAGCGTTCGATTGCAGCTCGAATGGTCGCTGGTTCAATCCCGGTCTCGCGCTTGTTGTTGCTCTCACCATTGCCCGCTTGGTCGGATGTTCTGCGATTGTTGGGCTTCGAACGTCAAGAAGTGGTTGCATTGCATGACCCTCTCACCCTTGCTTTGCTTGTGGCTGTTGTCCACCGGTGGCCCAGTCGATTCAGCAATGCGCTCAAGGTGCATTCCACCTCTCTGTTTGTTTCGATGAACTAGCACTGATTTGGATGGATCGTCGCCCAAGCTTATCGTCTCATGATGTGTCTTTGTTAAGTTTCTATTTCCACTGCATTGGTCGAACCCACCTGGGTTGCTTTGCGCCGTTTAAATTGACTAGCGTGATCGAATACCAACACCACATCCACGTTGCTCGATAGTGAAATGAATGCAACTAAGCGAATGCAGACAGCAGATGTAGTCTGAGCTCGTGATCGTACTAGTGGGAGTAGATCCTGCGAGCGATTGATTCGTGCAGTTCGTGTCGACTGTGTTTGTGAAGCGCGATGGGTGGGTTGGTCTTTTTTTTGTGACGGCTTGGTGTGAGATGTCCTTTCTGCGCGCGGGTAGCTCAGTGGTAGAGCGTTCGATTGCAGCTCGAATGGTCGCTGGTTCAATCCCGGTCTCGCGCTTGTTGATGCTCTCACCATTGCCCGCTTGGTCGGATGTTCTGCGATTGTTGGGCTTCGAACGTCAAGAAGTGGTTGCATTGCATGACCCTCTCACCCTTGCTTTGCTTGTGGCTGTTGTCCACCGGTGGCCCAGTCGATTCAGCAATGCGCTCAAGGTGCATTCCACCTCTCTGTTGGTTTCGATGAACTAGCACTGATTTGGATGGATCGTCGCCCAAGCTTATCGTCTCATGATGTGTCTTTGTTAAGTTTCTATTTCCACTGCATTGGTCGAACCACCTGGGTTGCTTTGCGCCGTTTAAATTGACTAGCGTGATCGAATACCAACACCACATCCACGTTGCTCGATAGTGAAATGAATGCAACTAAGGGAATGCAGACAGCAGACGTAGTCTGAGCTCGTGATCGTACGAGTGGGAGTAGATCCTGCGAGCGATTGATTCGTGCAGTTCGTGTCGACTGTGTTTGTGAAGCGCGATGGGTGGGTTGGTCTTTTTTTGTGACGGCTTGGTGTGAGATGTCCTTTCTGCGCGCGGGTAGCTCAGTGGTAGAGCGTTCGATTGCAGCTCGAATGGTCGCTGGTTCAATCCCGGTCTCGCGCTTGTTGTTGCTCTCACCATTGCCCGCTTGGTCGGATGTTCTGCGATTGTTGGGCTTCGAACGTCAAGAAGTGGTTGCATTGCATGACCCTCTCACCCTTGCTTTGCTTGTGGCTGTTGTCCACCGGTGGCCCAGTCGATTCAGCAATGCGCTCAAGGTGCATTCCACCTCTCTGTTGGTTTCGATGAACTAGCACTGATTTGGATGGATCGTCGCCCAAGCTTATCGTCTCATGATGTGTCTTTGTTAAGTTTCTATTTCCACTGCATTGGTCGAACCCACCTGGGTTGCTTTGCGCCGTTTAAATTGACTAGCGTGATCGAATACCAACACCACATCCACGTTGCTCGATAGTGAAATGAATGCAACTAAGGGAATGCAGACAGCAGACGTAGTCTGAGCTCGTGATCGTACGAGTGGGAGTAGATCCTGCGAGCGATTGATTCGTGCAGTTCGTGTCGACTGTGTTTGTGAAGCGCGATGGGTGGGTTGGTCTTTTTTGTGACGGCTTGGTGTGAGATGTCCTTTCTGCGCGCGGGTAGCTCAGTGGTAGAGCGTTCGATTGCAGCTCGAATGGTCGCTGGTTCAATCCCGGTCTCGCGCTTGTTGTTGCTCTCACCATTGCCCGCTTGGTCGGATGTTCTGCGATTGTTGGGCTTCGAACGTCAAGAAGTGGTTGCATTGCATGACCCTCTCACCCTTGCTTTGCTTGTGGCTGTTGTCCACCGGTGGCCCAGTCGATTCAGCAATGCGCTCAAGGTGCATTCCACCTCTCTGTTTGTTTCGATGAACTAGCACTGATTTGGATGGATCGTCGCCCAAGCTTATCGTCTCATGATGTGTCTTTGTTAAGTTTCTATTTCCACTGCATTGGTCGAACCCACCTGGGTTGCTTTGCGCCGTTTAAATTGACTAGCGTGATCGAATACCAACACCACATCCACGTTGCTCGATAGTGAAATGAATGCAACTAAGGGAATGCAGACAGCAGACGTAGTCTGAGCTCGTGATCGTACGAGTGGGAGTAGATCCTGCGAGCGATTGATTCGTGCAGTTCGTGTCGACTGTGTTTGTGAAGCGCGATGGGTGGGTTGGTCTTTTTTTTGTGACGGCTTGGTGTGAGATGTCCTTTCTGCGCGCGGGTAGCTCAGTGGTAGAGCGTTCGATTGCAGCTCGAATGGTCGCTGGTTCAATCCCGGTCTCGCGCTTGTTGTTGCTCTCACCATTGCCCGCTTGGTCGGATGTTCTGCGATTGTTGGGCTTCGAACGTCAAGAAGTGGTTGCATTGCATGACCCTCTCACCCTTGCTTTGCTTGTGGCTGTTGTCCACCGGTGGCCCAGTCGATTCAGCAATGCGCTCAAGGTGCATTCCACCTCTCTGTTGGTTTCGATGAACTAGCACTGATTTGGATGGATCGTCGCCCAAGCTTATCGTCTCATGATGTGTCTTTGTTAAGTTTCTATTTCCACTGCATTGCTCACCAGGGTTGCTTTGCGCCGTTTAAATTGACTAGCGTGATCGAATACCAACACCACATCCACGTTGCTCGATAGTGAAATGAATGCAACTAAGGGAATGCAGACAGCAGATGTAGTCTGAGCTCGTGATCGTACGAGTGGGAGTAGATCCTGCGAGCGATTGATTCGTGCAGTTCGTGTCGACTGTGTTTGTGAAGCGCGATGGGTGGGTTGGTCTTTTTTTGTGACGGCTTGGTGTGAGATGTCCTTTCTGCGCGCGGGTAGCTCAGTGGTAGAGCGTTCGATTGCAGCTCGAATGGTCGCTGGTTCAATCCCGGTCTCGCGCTTGTTGTTGCTCTCACCATTGCCCGCTTGGTCGGATGTTCTGCGATTGTTGGGCTTCGAACGTCAAGAAGTGGTTGCATTGCATGACCCTCTCACCCTTGCTTTGCTTGTGGCTGTTGTCCACCGGTGGCCCAGTCGATTCAGCAATGCGCTCAAGGTGCATTCCACCTCTCTGTTGGTTTCGATGAACTAGCACTGATTTGGATGGATCGTCGCCCAAGCTTATCGTCTCATGATGTGTCTTTGTTAAGTTTCTATTTCCACTGCATTGGTCGAACCCACCTGGGTTGCTTTGCGCCGTTTAAATTGACTAGCGTGATCGAATACCAACACCACATCCACGTTGCTCGATAGTGAAATGAATGCAACTAAGGGAATGCAGACAGCAGACGTAGTCTGAGCTCGTGATCGTACGAGTGGGAGTAGATCCTGCGAGCGATTGATTCGTGCAGTTCGTGTCGACTGTGTTTGTGAAGCGCGATGGGTGGGTTGGTCTTTTTTTTGTGACGGCTTGGTGTGAGATGTCCTTTCTGCGCGCGGGTAGCTCAGTGGTAGAGCGTTCGATTGCAGCTCGAATGGTCGCTGGTTCAATCCCGGTCTCGCGCTTGTTGTTGCTCTCACCATTGCCCGCTTGGTCGGATGTTCTGCGATTGTTGGGCTTCGAACGTCAAGAAGTGGTTGCATTGCATGACCCTCTCACCCTTGCTTTGCTTGTGGCTGTTGTCCACCGGTGGCCCAGTCGATTCAGCAATGCGCTCAAGGTGCATTCCACCTCTCTGTTTGTTTCGATGAACTAGCACTGATTTGGATGGATCGTCGCCCAAGCTTATCGTCTCATGATGTGTCTTTGTTAAGTTTCTATTTCCACTGCATTGGTCGAACCCACCTGGGTTGCTTTGCGCCGTTTAAATTGACTAGCGTGATCGAATACCAACACCACATCCACGTTGCTCGATAGTGAAATGAATGCAACTAAGGGAATGCAGACAGCAGATGTAGTCTGAGCTCGTGATCGTACGAGTGGGAGTAGATCCTGCGAGCGATTGATTCGTGCAGTTCGTGTCGACTGTGTTTGTGAAGCGCGATGGGTGGGCTGGCCTTTTTGTGACGGCTTGGTGTGAGATGTCCTTTCTGCGCGCGGGTAGCTCAGTGGTAGAGCGTTCGATTGCAGCTCGAATGGTCGCTGGTTCAATCCCGGTCTCGCGCTTGTTGTTGCTCTCACCATTGCCCGCTTGGTCGGATGTTCTGCGATTGTTGGGCTTCGAACGTCAAGAAGTGGTTGCATTGCATGACCCTCTCACCCTTGCTTTGCTTGTGGCTGTTGTCCACCGGTGGCCCAGTCGATTCAGCAATGCGCTCAAGGTGCATTCCACCTCTCTGTTGGTTTCGATGAACTAGCACTGATTTGGATGGATCGTCGCCCAAGCTTATCGTCTCATGATGTGTCTTTGTTAAGTTTCTATTTCCACTGCATTGGTCGAACCCACCTGGGTTGCTTTGCGCCGTTTAAATTGACTAGCGTGATCGAATACCAACACCACATCCACGTTGCTCGATAGTGAAATGAATGCAACTAAGGGAATGCAGACAGCAGACGTAGTCTGAGCTCGTGATCGTACGAGTGGGAGTAGATCCTGCGAGCGATTGATTCGTGCAGTTCGTGTCGACTGTGTTTGTGAAGCGCGATGGGTGGGTTGGTCTTTTTTTTGTGACGGCTTGGTGTGAGATGTCCTTTCTGCGCGCGGGTAGCTCAGTGGTAGAGCGTTCGATTGCAGCTCGAATGGTCGCTGGTTCAATCCCGGTCTCGCGCTTGTTGTTGCTCTCACCATTGCCCGCTTGGTCGGATGTTCTGCGATTGTTGGGCTTCGAACGTCAAGAAGTGGTTGCATTGCATGACCCTCTCACCCTTGCTTTGCTTGTGGCTGTTGTCCACCGGTGGCCCAGTCGATTCAGCAATGCGCTCAAGGTGCATTCCACCTCTCTGTTTGTTTCGATGAACTAGCACTGATTTGGATGGATCGTCGCCCAAGCTTATCGTCTCATGATGTGTCTTTGTTAAGTTTCTATTTCCACTGCATTGGTCGAACCCACCTGGGTTGCTTTGCGCCGTTTAAATTGACTAGCGTGATCGAATACCAACACCACATCCACGTTGCTCGATAGTGAAATGAATGCAACTAAGGGAATGCAGACAGCAGACGTAGTCTGAGCTCGTGATCGTACGAGTGGGAGTAGATCCTGCGAGCGATTGATTCGTGCAGTTCGTGTCGACTGTGTTTGTGAAGCGCGATGGGTGGGTTGGTCTTTTTTTGTGACGGCTTGGTGTGAGATGTCCTTTCTGCGCGCGGGTAGCTCAGTGGTAGAGCGTTCGATTGCAGCTCGAATGGTCGCTGGTTCAATCCCGGTCTCGCGCTTGTTGTTGCTCTCACCATTGCCCGCTTGGTCGGATGTTCTGCGATTGTTGGGCTTCGAACGTCAAGAAGTGGTGGCATTGCATGACCCTCTCACCCTTGCTTTGCTTGTGGCTGTTGTCCACCGGTGGCCCAGTCGATTCAGCAATGCGCTCAAGGTGCATTCCACCTCTCTGTTGGTTTCGATGAACTAGCACTGATTTGGATGGATCGTCGCCCAAGCTTATCGTCTCATGATGTGTCTTTGTTAAGTTTCTATTTCCACTGCATTGCTCGAACCCACGGGTTGCTTTGCGCCGTTTAAATTGACTAGCGTGATCGAATACCAACACCACATCCACGTTGCTCGATAGTGAAATGAATGCAACTAAGGGAATGCAGACAGCAGACGTAGTCTGAGCTCGTGATCGTACGAGTGGGAGTAGATCCTGCGAGCGATTGATTCGTGCAGTTCGTGTCGACTGTGTTTGTGAAGCGCGATGGGTGGGTTGGTCTTTTTTTGTGACGGCTTGGTGTGAGATGTCCTTTCTGCGCGCGGGTAGCTCAGTGGTAGAGCGTTCGATTGCAGCTCGAATGGTCGCTGGTTCAATCCCGGTCTCGCGCTTGTTGTTGCTCTCACCATTGCCCGCTTGGTCGGATGTTCTGCGATTGTTGGGCTTCGAACGTCAAGAAGTGGTTGCATTGCATGACCCTCTCACCCTTGCTTTGCTTGTGGCTGTTGTCCACCGGTGGCCCAGTCGATTCAGCAATGCGCTCAAGGTGCATTCCACCTCTCTGTTGGTTTCGATGAACTAGCACTGATTTGGATGGATCGTCGCCCAAGCTTATCGTCTCATGATGTGTCTTTGTTAAGTTTCTATTTCCACTGCATTGCTCACCAGGGTTGCTTTGCGCCGTTTAAATTGACTAGCGTGATCGAATACCAACACCACATCCACGTTGCTCGATAGTGAAATGAATGCAACTAAGGGAATGCAGACAGCAGACGTAGTCTGAGCTCGTGATCGTACGAGTGGGAGTAGATCCTGCGAGCGATTGATTCGTGCAGTTCGTGTCGACTGTGTTTGTGAAGCGCGATGGGTGGGTTGGTCTTTTTTTGTGACGGCTTGGTGTGAGATGTCCTTTCTGCGCGCGGGTAGCTCAGTGGTAGAGCGTTCGATTGCAGCTCGAATGGTCGCTGGTTCAATCCCGGTCTCGCGCTTGTTGTTGCTCTCACCATTGCCCGCTTGGTCGGATGTTCTGCGATTGTTGGGCTTCGAACGTCAAGAAGTGGTTGCATTGCATGACCCTCTCACCCTTGCTTTGCTTGTGGCTGTTGTCCACCGGTGGCCCAGTCGATTCAGCAATGCGCTCAAGGTGCATTCCACCTCTCTGTTGGTTTCGATGAACTAGCACTGATTTGGATGGATCGTCGCCCAAGCTTATCGTCTCATGATGTGTCTTTGTTAAGTTTCTATTTCCACTGCATTGGTCGAACCCACCTGGGTTGCTTTGCGCCGTTTAAATTGACTAGCGTGATCGAATACCAACACCACATCCACGTTGCTCGATAGTGAAATGAATGCAACTAAGGGAATGCAGACAGCAGACGTAGTCTGAGCTCGTGATCGTACGAGTGGGAGTAGATCCTGCGAGCGATTGATTCGTGCAGTTCGTGTCGACTGTGTTTGTGAAGCGCGATGGGTGGGTTGGTCTTTTGTTTTTTGACGGCTTGGTGTGAGATGTCCTTTCTGCGCGCGGGTAGCTCAGTGGTAGAGCGTTCGATTGCAGCTCGAATGGTCGCTGGTTCAATCCCGGTCTCGCGCTTGTTGTTGCTCTCACCATTGCCCGCTTGGTCGGATGTTCTGCGATTGTTGGGCTTCGAACGTCAAGAAGTGGTTGCATTGCATGACCCTCTCACCCTTGCTTTGCTTGTGGCTGTTGTCCACCGGTGGCCCAGTCGATTCAGCAATGCGCTCAAGGTGCATTCCACCTCTCTGTTGGTTTCGATGAACTAGCACTGATTTGGATGGATCGTCGCCCAAGCTTATCGTCTCATGATGTGTCTTTGTTAAGTTTCTATTTCCACTGCATTGGTCACCAGGGTTGCTTTGCGCCGTTTAAATTGACTAGCGTGATCGAATACCAACACCACATCCACGTTGCTCGATAGTGAAATGAATGCAACTAAGGGAATGCAGACAGCAGATGTAGTCTGAGCTCGTGATCGTACTAGTGGGAGTAGATCCTGCGAGCGATTGATTCGTGCAGTTCGTGTCTCTGTGATTGTGAAGCGCGATGGGTGGGTTGGTCTTTTGTTTTGTGACGGCTTGGTGTGAGATGTCCTTTCTGCGCGCGGGTAGCTCAGTGGTAGAGCGTTCGATTGCAGCTCGAATGGTCGCTGGTTCAATCCCGGTCTCGCGCTTGTTGTTGCTCTCACCATTGCCCGCTTGGTCGGATGTTCTGCGATTGTTGGGCTTCGAACGTCAAGAAGTGGTGGCATTGCATGACCCTCTCACCCTTGCTTTGCTTGTGGCTGTTGTCCACCGGTGGCCCAGTCGATTCAGCAATGCGCTCAAGGTGCATTCCACCTCTCTGTTTGTTTCGATGAACTAGCACTGATTTGGATGGATCGTCGCCCAAGCTTATCGTCTCATGATGTGTCTTTGTTAAGTTTCTATTTCCACTGCATTGGTCGAACCCACCTGGGTTGCTTTGCGCCGTTTAAATTGACTAGCGTGATCGAATACCAACACCACATCCACGTTGCTCGATAGTGAAATGAATGCAACTAAGGGAATGCAGACAGCAGACGTAGTCTGAGCTCGTGATCGTACGAGTGGGAGTAGATCCTGCGAGCGATTGATTCGTGCAGTTCGTGTCGACTGTGTTTGTGAAGCGCGATGGGTGGGTTGGTCTTTTGTTTTTTGACGGCTTGGTGTGAGATGTCCTTTCTGCGCGCGGGTAGCTCAGTGGTAGAGCGTTCGATTGCAGCTCGAATGGTCGCTGGTTCAATCCCGGTCTCGCGCTTGTTGTTGCTCTCACCATTGCCCGCTTGGTCGGATGTTCTGCGATTGTTGGGCTTCGAACGTCAAGAAGTGGTTGCATTGCATGACCCTCTCACCCTTGCTTTGCTTGTGGCTGTTGTCCACCGGTGGCCCAGTCGATTCAGCAATGCGCTCAAGGTGCATTCCACCTCTCTGTTTGTTTCGATGAACTAGCACTGATTTGGATGGATCGTCGCCCAAGCTTATCGTCTCATGATGTGTCTTTGTTAAGTATATATTTCCACTGCATTGCTCACCCACCTGGGTTGCTTTGCGCCGTTTAAATTGACTAGCGTGATCGAATACCAACACCACATCCACGTTGCTCGATAGTGAAATGAATGCAACTAAGCGAATGCAGACAGCAGATGTAGTCTGAGCTCGTGATCGTACGAGTGGGGAAGTGGGAGTAGATCCTGCGAGCGATTGATTCGTGCAGTTCGTGTCGACTGTGTTTGTGAAGCGCGATGGGTGGGTTGGTCTTTTTTTTTTGACGGCTTGGTGTGAGATGTCCTTTCTGCGCGCGGGTAGCTCAGTGGTAGAGCGTTCGATTGCAGCTCGAATGGTCGCTGGTTCAATCCCGGTCTCGCGCTTGTTGTTGCTCTCACCATTGCCCGCTTGGTCGGATGTTCTGCGATTGTTGGGCTTCGAACGTCAAGAAGTGGTGGCATTGCATGACCCTCTCACCCTTGCTTTGCTTGTGGCTGTTGTCCACCGGTGGCCCAGTCGATTCAGCAATGCGCTCAAGGTGCATTCCACCTCTCTGTTGGTTTCGATGAACTAGCACTGATTTGGATGGATCGTCGCCCAAGCTTATCGTCTCATGATGTGTCTTTGTTAAGTATATATTTCCACTGCATTGGTCGAACCCACCTGGGTTGCTTTGCGCCGTTTAAATTGACTAGCGTGATCGAATACCAACACCACATCCACGTTGCTCGATAGTGAAATGAATGCAACTAAGGGAATGCAGACAGCAGACGTAGTCTGAGCTCGTGATCGTACGAGTGGGAGTAGATCCTGCGAGCGATTGATTCGTGCAGGTCGTGTCGACTGTGTTTGTGAAGCGCGATGGGTGGGTTGGTCTTTTTTTGTGACGGCTTGGTGTGAGATGTCCTTTCTGCGCGCGGGTAGCTCAGTGGTAGAGCGTTCGATTGCAGCTCGAATGGTCGCTGGTTCAATCCCGGTCTCGCGCTTGTTGTTGCTCTCACCATTGCCCGCTTGGTCGGATGTTCTGCGATTGTTGGGCTTCGAACGTCAAGAAGTGGTTGCATTGCATGACCCTCTCACCCTTGCTTTGCTTGTGGCTGTTGTCCACCGGTGGCCCAGTCGATTCAGCAATGCGCTCAAGGTGCATTCCACCTCTCTGTTGGTTCCGATGGACTAGCACTGATTTGGATGGATCGTCGCAAAAGCTTATCGTCTCATGATGTGTCTTTGTTAAATTTCTATTTCCACTGCATTGGTCACCAGGGTTGCTTTGCGCCGTTTAAATTGACTAGCGTGATCGAATACCAACACCACATCCACGTTGCTCGATAGTGAAATGAATGCAGCTAAGGGAATGCAGACAGCAGACGTAGTCTGAGCTCGTGATCGTACTAGTGGGAGTAGATCCTGCGAGCGATTGATTCGTGCAGGTCGTGTCGACTGTGTTTGTGAAGCGCGATGGGTGGGTTGGTCTTTTGTTTTTTGACGGCTTGGTGTGAGATGTCCTTTCTGCGCGCGGGTAGCTCAGTGGTAGAGCGTTCGATTGCAGCTCGAATGGTCGCTGGTTCAATCCCGGTCTCGCGCTTGTTGTTGCTCTCATCATTGCCCGCTTGGTCGGATGTTCTGCGATTGTTGGGCTTCGAACGTCAAGAAGTGGTTGCATTGCATGACCCTCTCACCCTTGCTTTGCTTGTGGCTGTTGTCCACCGGTGGCCCAGTCGATTCAGCAATGCGCTCAAGGTGCATTCCACCTCTCTGTTGGTTTCGATGAACTAGCACTGATTTGGATGGATCGTCGCCCAAGCTTATCGTCTCATGATGTTCCTTCTTAAATTTCTATTTCCACTGCATTGGTCACCAGGGTTGCTTTGCGCCGTTTAAATTGACTAGCGTGATCGAATACCAACACCACATCCACGTTGCTCGATAGTGAAATGAATGCAGCTAAGGGAATGCAGACAGCAGACGTAGTCTGAGCTCGTGATCGTACTAGTGGGAGTAGATCCTGCGAGCGATTGATTCGTGCAGTTCGTGTCGACTGTGTTTGTGAAGCGCGATGGGTGGGTTGGTCTTTTTTTGTGACGGCTTGGTGTGAGATGTCCTTTCTGCGCGCGGGTAGCTCAGTGGTAGAGCGTTCGATTGCAGCTCGAATGGTCGCTGGTTCAATCCCGGTCTCGCGCTTGTTGTTGCTCTCATCATTGCCCGCTTGGTCGGATGTTCTGCGATTGTTGGGCTTCGAACGTCAAGAAGTGGTTGCATTGCATGACCCTCTCACCCTTGCTTTGCTTGTGGCTGTTGTCCACCGGTGGCCCAGTCGATTCAGCAATGCGCTCAAGGTGCATTCCACCTCTCTGTTTGTTTCGATGAACTAGCACTGATTTGGATGGATCGTCGCCCAAGCTTATCGTCTCATGATGTGTCTTTGTTAAGTATATATTTCCACTGCATTGCTCACCAGGGTTGCTTTGCGCCGTTTAAATTGACTAGCGTGATCGAATACCAACACCACATCCACGTTGCTCGATAGTGAAATGAATGCAACTAAGCGAATGCAGACAGCAGATGTAGTCTGAGCTCGTGATCGTACGAGTGGGAGTAGATCCTGCGAGCGATTGATTCGTGCAGGTCGTGTCGACTGTGTTTGTGAAGCGCGATGGGTGGGTTGGTCTTTTTTTGTGACGGCTTGGTGTGAGATGTCCTTTCTGCGCGCGGGTAGCTCAGTGGTAGAGCGTTCGATTGCAGCTCGAATGGTCGCTGGTTCAATCCCGGTCTCGCGCTTGTTGTTGCTCTCACCATTGCCCGCTTGGTCGGATGTTCTGCGATTGTTGGGCTTCGAACGTCAAGAAGTGGTTGCATTGCAGGACCCTCTCACCCTTGCTTTGCTTGTGGCTGTTGTCCACTGGTGGCCCAGTCGATTCAGCTATGCGCTCAAGGTGCATTCCACCTCTCTGTTGGTTTCGATGAACTAGCACTGATTTGGATGGATCGTCGCCCAAGCTTATCGTCTCATGATGTGTCTTTGTTAAGTATATATTTCCACTGCATTGGTCGACCCACTGGGTCGCTTTGCGCCGTTTAAATTGACTAGCGTGATCGAATACCAACACCACATCCACGTTGCTCGATAGTGAAATGAATGCAACTAAGGGAATGCAGACAGCAGACGTAGTCTGAGCTCGTGATCGTACTAGTGGGAGTAGATCCTGCGAGCGATTGATTCGTGCAGTTCGTGTCGACTGTGTTTGTGAAGCGCGATGGGTGGGTTGGTCTTTTTTTGTGACGGCTTGGTGTGAGATGTCCTTTCTGCGCGCGGGTAGCTCAGTGGTAGAGCGTTCGATTGCAGCTCGAATGGTCGCTGGTTCAATCCCGGTCTCGCGCTTGTTGTTGCTCTCACCATTGCCCGCTTGGTCGGATGTTCTGCGATTGTTGGGCTTCGAACGTCAAGAAGTGGTTGCATTGCATGACCCTCTCACCCTTGCTTTGCTTGTGGCTGTTGTCCACCGGTGGCCCAGTCGATTCAGCAATGCGCTCAAGGTGCATTCCACCTCTCTGTTTGTTTCGATGAACTAGCACTGATTTGGATGGATCGTCGCCCAAGCTTATCGTCTCATGATGTTCCTTCTTAAGTTTCTATTTCCACTGCATTGGTCACCAGGGTTGCTTTGCGCCGTTTAAATTGACTAGCGTGATCGAATACCAACACCACATCCACGTTGCTCGATAGTGAAATGAATGCAGCTAAGGGAATGCAGACAGCAGACGTAGTCTGAGCTCGTGATCGTACTAGTGGGAGTAGATCCTGCGAGCGATTGATTCGTGCAGTTCGTGTCGACTGTGTTTGTGAAGCGCGATGGGTGGGTTGGTCTTTTTTTTTTTGACGGCTTGGTGTGAGATGTCCTTTCTGCGCGCGGGTAGCTCAGTGGTAGAGCGTTCGATTGCAGCTCGAATGGTCGCTGGTTCAATCCCGGTCTCGCGCTTGTTGTTGCTCTCACCATTGCCCGCTTGGTCGGATGTTCTGCGATTGTTGGGCTTCGAACGTCAAGAAGTGGTTGCATTGCATGACCCTCTCACCCTTGCTTTGCTTGTGGCTGTTGTCCACCGGTGGCCCAGTCGATTCAGCAATGCGCTCAAGGTGCATTCCACCTCTCTGTTTGTTTCGATGAACTAGCACTGATTTGGATGGATCGTCGCCCAAGCTTATCGTCTCATGATGTGTCTTTGTTAAGTTTCTATTTCCACTGCATTGGTCGAACCCACCTGGGTTGCTTTGCGCCGTTTAAATTGACTAGCGTGATCGAATACCAACACCACATCCACGTTGCTCGATAGTGAAATGAATGCAGCTAAGGGAATGCAGACAGCAGACGTAGTCTGAGCTCGTGATCGTACTAGTGGGAGTAGATCCTGCGAGCGATTGATTCGTGCAGTTCGTGTCGACTGTGTTTGTGAAGCGCGATGGGTGGGTTGGTCTTTTTTGTGACGGCTTGGTGTGAGATGTCCTTTCTGCGCGCGGGTAGCTCAGTGGTAGAGCGTTCGATTGCAGCTCGAATGGTCGCTGGTTCAATCCCGGTCTCGCGCTTGTTGTTGCTCTCATCATTGCCCGCTTGGTCGGATGTTCTGCGATTGTTGGGCTTCGAACGTCAAGAAGTGGTTGCATTGCATGACCCTCTCACCCTTGCTTTGCTTGTGGCTGTTGTCCACCGGTGGCCCAGTCGATTCAGCAATGCGCTCAAGGTGCATTCCACCTCTCTGTTTGTTTCGATGAACTAGCACTGATTTGGATGGATCGTCGCCCAAGCTTATCGTCTCATGATGTGTCTTTGTTAAGTATATATTTCCACTGCATTGGTCGAACCCACCTGGGTTGCTTTGCGCCGTTTAAATTGACTAGCGTGATCGAATACCAACACCACATCCACGTTGCTCGATAGTGAAATGAATGCAGCTAAGGGAATGCAGACAGCAGACGTAGTCTGAGCTCGTGATCGTACTAGTGGGAGTAGATCCTGCGAGCGATTGATTCGTGCAGTTCGTGTCGACTGTGTTTGTGAAGCGCGATGGGTGGGTTGGTCTTTTTTTGTGACGGCTTGGTGTGAGATGTCCTTTCTGCGCGCGGGTAGCTCAGTGGTAGAGCGTTCGATTGCAGCTCGAATGGTCGCTGGTTCAATCCCGGTCTCGCGCTTGTTGTTGCTCTCACCATTGCCCGCTTGGTCGGATGTTCTGCGATTGTTGGGCTTCGAACGTCAAGAAGTGGTTGCATCGCATGACCCTCTCACCCTTGCTTTGCTTGTGGCTGTTGTCCACCGGTGGCCCAGTCGATTCAGCAATGCGCTCAAGGTGCATTCCACCTCTCTGTTGGTTTCGATGAACTAGCACTGATTTGGATGGATCGTCGCCCAAGCTTATCGTCTCATGATGTGTCTTTGTTAAGTTTCTATTTCCACTGCATTGGTCACCAGGGTTGCTTTGCGCCGTTTAAATTGACTAGCGTGATCGAATACCAACACCACATCCACGTTGCTCGATAGTGAAATGAATGCAACTAAGGGAATGCAGACAGCAGACGTAGTCTGAGCTCGTGATCGTACTAGTGGGAGTAGATCCTGCGAGCGATTGATTCGTGCAGTTCGTGTCGACTGTGATTGTGAAGCGCGATGGGTGGGTTGGTCTTTTTTTGTGACGGCTTGGTGTGAGATGTCCTTTCTGCGCGCGGGTAGCTCAGTGGTAGAGCGTTCGATTGCAGCTCGAATGGTCGCTGGTTCAATCCCGGTCTCGCGCTTGTTGATGCTCTCACCATTGCGCGCTTGGTCGGATGTTCTGCGATTGTCAGGCTTCGAACGTCAAGAAGTGGTTGCATTGCATGACCCTCTCACCCTTGCTTTGCTTGTGGCTGTTGTCCACCGGTGGCCCAGTCGATTCAGCAATGCGCTCAAGGTGCATTCCACCTCTCTGTTGGTTTCGATGAACTAGCACTGATTTGGATGGATCGTCGCCCAAGCTTATCGTCTCATGATGTGTCTTTGTTAAATTTCTATTTCCACTGCATTGCTCACTAGGGTTGCTTTGCGCCGTTTAAATTGACTAGCGTGATCGAATACCAACACCACATCCACGTTGCTCGATAGTGAAATGAATGCAGCTAAGGGAATGCAGACAGCAGACGTAGTCTGAGCTCGTGATCGTACTAGTGGGAGTAGATCCTGCGAGCGATTGATTCGTGCAGTTCGTGTCGACTGTGTTTGTGAAGCGCGATGGGTGGGTTGGTCTTTTTTTTGTGACGGCTTGGTGTGAGATGTCCTTTCTGCGCGCGGGTAGCTCAGTGGTAGAGCGTTCGATTGCAGCTCGAATGGTCGCTGGTTCAATCCCGGTCTCGCGCTTGTTGTTGCTCTCACCATTGCCCGCTTGGTCGGATGTTCTGCGATTGTTGGGCTTCGAACGTCAAGAAGTGGTTGCATTGCATGACCCTCTCACCCTTGCTTTGCTTGTGGCTGTTGTCCACCGGTGGCCCAGTCGATTCAGCAATGCGCTCAAGGTGCATTCCACCTCTCTGTTTGTTTCGATGAACTAGCACTGATTTGGATGGATCGTCGCCCAAGCTTATCGTCTCATGATGTGTCTTTGTTAAGTTTCTATTTCCACTGCATTGGTCGAACCCACCTGGGTTGCTTTGCGCCGTTTAAATTGACTAGCGTGATCGAATACCAACACCACATCCACGTTGCTCGATAGTGAAATGAATGCAGCTAAGGGAATGCAGACAGCAGACGTAGTCTGAGCTCGTGATCGTACTAGTGGGAGTAGATCCTGCGAGCGATTGATTCGTGCAGTTCGTGTCGACTGTGTTTGTGAAGCGCGATGGGTGGGTTGGTCTTTTTTTGTGACGGCTTGGTGTGAGATGTCCTTTCTGCGCGCGGGTAGCTCAGTGGTAGAGCGTTCGATTGCAGCTCGAATGGTCGCTGGTTCAATCCCGGTCTCGCGCTTGTTGTTGCTCTCATCATTGCCCGCTTGGTCGGATGTTCTGCGATTGTTGGGCTTCGAACGTCAAGAAGTGGTTGCATTGCATGACCCTCTCACCCTTGCTTTGCTTGTGGCTGTTGTCCACCGGTGGCCCAGTCGATTCAGCAATGCGCTCAAGGTGCATTCCACCTCTCTGTTTGTTTCGATGAACTAGCACTGATTTGGATGGATCGTCGCCCAAGCTTATCGTCTCATGATGTGTCCTTGTTAAGTTTATATTTCCACTGCATTGCTCACCAGGGTTGCTTTGCGCCGTTTAAATTGACTAGCGTGATCGAATACCAACACCACATCCACGTTGCTCGATAGTGAAATGAATGCAGCTAAGGGAATGCAGACAGCAGACGTAGTCTGAGCTCGTGATCGTACTAGTGGGAGTAGATTCTGCGAGCGATTGATTCGTGCAGTTCGTGTCGACTGTGTTTGTGAAGCGCGATGGGTGGGTTGGTCTTTTTTTGTGACGGCTTGGTGTGAGATGTCCTTTCTGCGCGCGGGTAGCTCAGTGGTAGAGCGTTCGATTGCAGCTCGAATGGTCGCTGGTTCAATCCCGGTCTCGCGCTTGTTGTTGCTCTCATCATTGCCCGCTTGGTCGGATGTTCTGCGATTGTCAGGCTTCGAACGTCAAGAAGTGGTTGCATTGCATGACCCTCTCACCCTTGCTTTGCTTGTGGCTGTTGTCCACCGGTGGCCCAGTCGATTCAGCAATGCGCTCAAGGTGCATTCCACCTCTCTGTTTGTTTCGATGAACTAGCACTGATTTGGATGGATCGTCGCCCAAGCTTATCGTCTCATGATGTGTCTTTGTTAAGTATATATTTCCACTGCATTGGTCGAACCCACCTGGGTTGCTTTGCGCCGTTTAAATTGACTAGCGTGATCGAATACCAACACCACATCCACGTTGCTCGATAGTGAAATGAATGCAGCTAAGGGAATGCAGACAGCAGACGTAGTCTGAGCTCGTGATCGTACTAGTGGGAGTAGATTCTGCGAGCGATTGATTCGTGCAGTTCGTGTCGACTGTGTTTGTGAAGCGCGATGGGTGGGTTGGTCTTTTTTGTGACGGCTTGGTGTGAGATGTCCTTTCTGCGCGCGGGTAGCTCAGTGGTAGAGCGTTCGATTGCAGCTCGAATGGTCGCTGGTTCAATCCCGGTCTCGCGCTTGTTGTTGCTCTCACCATTGCCCGCTTGGTCGGATGTTCTGCGATTGTTGGGCTTCGAACGTCAAGAAGTGGTTGCATTGCATGACCCTCTCACCCTTGCTTTGCTTGTGGCTGTTGTCCACCGGTGGCCCAGTCGATTCAGCAATGCGCTCAAGGTGCATTCCACCTCTCTGTTTGTTTCGATGAACTAGCACTGATTTGGATGGATCGTCGCCCAAGCTTATCGTCTCATGATGTGTCTTTGTTAAGTATATATTTCCACTGCATTGGTCGAACCCACCTGGGTTGCTTTGCGCCGTTTAAATTGACTAGCGTGATCGAATACCAACACCACATCCACGTTGCTCGATAGTGAAATGAATGCAGCTAAGGGAATGCAGACAGCAGACGTAGTCTGAGCTCGTGATCGTACTAGTGGGAGTAGATCCTGCGAGCGATTGATTCGTGCAGGTCGTGTCGACTGTGATTGTGAAGCGCGATGGGTGGGTTGGTCTTTTTTTGTGACGGCTTGGTGGGAGATGTCCTTTCTGCGCGCGGGTAGCTCAGTGGTAGAGCGTTCGATTGCAGCTCGAATGGTCGCTGGTTCAATCCCGGTCTCGCGCTTGTTGTTGCTCTCACCATTGCCCGCTTGGTCGGATGTTCTGCGATTGTTGGGCTTCGAACGTCAAGAAGTGGTTGCATTGCATGACCCTCTCACCCTTGCTTTGCTTGTGGCTGTTGTCCACCGGTGGCCCAGTCGATTCAGCAATGCGCTCAAGGTGCATTCCACCTCTCTGTTTGTTTCGATGAACTAGCACTGATTTGGATGGATCGTCGCCCAAGCTTATCGTCTCATGATGTGTCTTTGTTAAGTATATATTTCCACTGCATTGCTCACCAGGGTTGCTTTGCGCCGTTTAAATTGACTAGCGTGATCGAATACCAACACCACATCCACGTTGCTCGATAGTGAAATGAATGCAGCTAAGGGAATGCAGACAGCAGACGTAGTCTGAGCTCGTGATCGTACTAGTGGGAGTAGATCCTGCGAGCGATTGATTCGTGCAGTTCGTGTCGACTGTGTTTGTGAAGCGCGATGGGTGGGTTGGTCTTTTTTTTGTGACGGCTTGGTGTGAGATGTCCTTTCTGCGCGCGGGTAGCTCAGTGGTAGAGCGTTCGATTGCAGCTCGAATGGTCGCTGGTTCAATCCCGGTCTCGCGCTTGTTGTTGCTCTCATCATTGCCCGCTTGGTCGGATGTTCTGCGATTGTCAGGCTTCGAACGTCAAGAAGTGATTGCATTGCATGACCCTCTCACCCTTGCTTTGCTTGTGGCTTATGTCCACCGGTGATCTCGTCGATTCTGCAATGCGCTCAAGGTGCATTCCACCTCTCTGTTGGTCCGATGGACTAGCACTGATTTGGATGGATCGTCGCAAAAGCTTATCGTCTCATGATGTTCCTTCCTAAATTTCTATTTCCACTGCATTGGTCACCAGGGTTGCTTTGCGCCGTTTAAATTGACTAGCGTGATCGAATACCAACACCACATCCACGTTGCTCGATAGTGAAATGAATGCAGCTAAGGGAATGCAGACAGCAGACGTAGTCTGAGCTCGTGATCGTACTAGTGGGAGTAGATTCTGCGAGCGATTGATTCGTGCAGTTCGTGTCGACTGTGTTTGTGAAGCGCGATGGGTGGGTTGGTCTTTTGTTTTTTGACGGCTTGGTGTGAGATGTCCTTTCTGCGCGCGGGTAGCTCAGTGGTAGAGCGTTCGATTGCAGCTCGAATGGTCGCTGGTTCAATCCCGGTCTCGCGCTTGTTGTTGCTCTCATCATTGCCCGCTTGGTCGGATGTTCTGCGATTGTTGGGCTTCGAACGTCAAGAAGTGGTTGCATTGCATGACCCTCTCACCCTTGCTTTGCTTGTGGCTGTTGTCCACCGGTGGCCCAGTCGATTCAGCAATGCGCTCAAGGTGCATTCCACCTCTCTGTTTGTTTCGATGAACTAGCACTGATTTGGATGGATCGTCGCCCAAGCTTATCGTCTCATGATGTGTCTTTGTTAAGTATATATTTCCACTGCATTGCTCACCAGGGTTGCTTTGCGCCGTTTAAATTGACTAGCGTGATCGAATACCAACACCACATCCACGTTGCTCGATAGTGAAATGAATGCAGCTAAGGGAATGCAGACAGCAGACGTAGTCTGAGCTCGTGATCGTACTAGTGGGAGTAGATTCTGCGAGCGATTGATTCGTGCAGTTCGTGTCGACTGTGTTTGTGAAGCGCGATGGGTGGGTTGGTCTTTTTTTGTGACGGCTTGGTGTGAGATGTCCTTTCTGCGCGCGGGTAGCTCAGTGGTAGAGCGTTCGATTGCAGCTCGAATGGTCGCTGGTTCAATCCCGGTCTCGCGCTTGTTGTTGCTCTCATCGTTGCCCGCTTGGTCGGATGTTCTGCGATTGTTGGGCTTCGAACGTCAAGAAGTGATTGCATTGCATGACCCTCTCACCCTTGCTTTGCTTGTGGCTTATGTCCACCGGTGATCTCGTCGATTCAGCAATGCGCTCAAGGTGCATTCCACCTCTCTGTTGGTCCGATGGACTAGCACTGATTTGGATGGATCGTCGCCCAAGCTTATCGTCTCATGATGTTCCTTCCTAAATTTCTATTTCCACTGCATTGCTCACCAGGGTTGCTTTGCGCCGTTTAAATTGACTAGCGTGATCGAATACCAACACCACATCCACGTTGCTCGATAGTGAAATGAATGCAACTAAGCGAATGCAGACAGCAGATGTAGTCTGAGCTCGTGATCGTACGAGTGGGAGTAGATCCTGCGAGCGATTGATTCGTGCAGGTCGTGTCGACTGTGTTTGTGAAGCGCGATGGGTGGGTTGGTCTTTTTTTGTGACGGCTTGGTGTGAGATGTCCTTTCTGCGCGCGGGTAGCTCAGTGGTAGAGCGTTCGATTGCAGCTCGAATGGTCGCTGGTTCAATCCCGGTCTCGCGCTTGTTGTTGCTCTCATCATTGCCCGCTTGGTCGGATGTTCTGCGATTGTCAGGCTTCGAACGTCAAGAAGTGGTTGCATCGCATGACCCTCTCACCCTTGCTTTGCTTGTGGCTGTTGTCCACCGGTGACCTCGTCGATTCAGCAATGCGCTCAAGGTGCATTCCACCTCTCTGTTGGTTTCGATGGACTAGCACTGATTTGATTTGGATCGTCGCCCAAGCTTATCGTCTCTTGATGTGTCTTTGTTAAGTATATATTTCCACTGCATTGCTCACCAGGGTTGCTTTGCGCCGTTTAATTTGACTAGCCTGATCGAATACCTACACCACATCCACGTTGCTCGATAGTGAAATGAATGCAACTAAGGGAATGCAGACAGCAGACGTAGTCTGAGCTCGTGATCGTACTAGTGGGAGTAGATCCTGCGAGCGATTGAATCGTGCAGTTCGTGTCGACTGTGATTGTGAAGCGCGATGGGTGGGTTGGTCTTTTTTTGTGACGGCTTGGTGTGAGATGTCCTTTCTGCGCGCGGGTAGCTCAGTGGTAGAGCGTTCGATCGCAGCTGAGTTGCATGCTGGTCCATTATCCTTGACTCTAACGTTCTGTGGTATGGCTAAAAGTGTCTTGTTGTAGATGTTTACGTTAAATGCATTTATGCCTCTCGTTTTAACTGCTAATATTGCAGTTTATCTAAATTTAACGGTACACATAGTGTTTATCACAGACGTATACCCTAAAGAAAGTAGCTACTTCGCGCTCAGTACAATGTTAATCGATCTCTTAACAAATGCAAGATTACAAACAGGTATATAAAGGCTACAACGCACTTTGTGCGAGTGCAAACTATGCCTATCATCATTTGCAGACGGACACACCGACAGAATTTAGTTATGAAAAGTTGGGCAGCAAATTTTGTGCCTAGTCGCTAATAAGTTTACCTTTGAGCTCGCAATAGTGCATATTTATCACTAGTTATGTTACATCTGTATGGTACCTGATCGATCGACCATTTATACAATAATGTAGGGTAGCAAGCTTTGAAACATCCTTATATCAAATCACTCATCTCAAATATTTGTAATTGTTTCGGGGGGGGGGCGAGAAAATGGGATGATCTGTTTTTATAAGAAAAGAGTGGTAATGGATTGTGAGTGTTACACCGACTCGTTGGTATTTTGATATTATAGATCAATTGATCGCCTCTACCTTCTTGTTCCACCACTTTCAGTTTACTCAAATATAATTGAATTCTTTAACTTTGTACCCTATAGGTATATACACGTTTTGCTGCTTTTTGAACACTCACATTCCAGAAATAAATTTTTCATATTTGCTCAGGGTTTTATCGTTTATTCCATTGCCCCGTGTTTGGGATATAGAATTGAAATACTAAACGAAGAAGCCATAAAAGGTGCTTGAGCAGGTTGCACAAAGACTCATGACATAAAATTAACCTCAAATTCATAACTAAAGCAGCATACTTACACACGTTAATTTACAAAGTTATGTAATATTGAATAATTTCCATAATGGCCGAATATATTGTGTTTAGTGATAAGAAGATTTCGAAATGCGATCAACTAAAAGGTTGAGGGTCAAGAGAAAAGGAACACGCCACTTCGTTCACGCTTGGACCAGATGTCTATTAATAACAAAGTGAGCAGAAGTTACTATTTATCTATAAGTTTTTTTGTTCCTTTATCAACACTCAAATTCTACATAAATAAATAAAACGCGGGACGACAGGGTTACCTGAATTACTGATACATGTCTTCTTGATGACTCTCATACGTTAGTGACTCGAGCTACGTTGTAGTACAGCCCGTGCGGAAATGCGCTCAACAACTTGGGCAATCTAATGTAATATTTGGAGCAGATACTCGTAAATGGTCTATTACGCTTACATACTACAAATGCGACAGTGAAAAACGATCCGAAAAGCATTAAAAGCGTGCATTCTGTCATCAGTATAGATATAACGACTAATCTTTAGATCAAAGCAGCAACAATTTTAATGAGGTGAGCATGTGCAGATGGCGGTCGATTAACTTTCCGTCGCACGTGCTGTTGCGCTAGACATGTGGTGGAATAGTTTCTTCTTACTGCGTGTTGAGCCACCAAATCACCTACTGTAGAGGACTGCCTACTTACGGGTAGGCGTACACCGATTACGCGTATAGAAGTTGACCCACGATTTGTACCCGTCCGCTGGAAAGATGTGCAATCAGGAAGACTTAGACGGAAATGAAGATATCTAGGTCTTAAGAGAGGTAGACCTGGGACTCCAAGTGTATATGATTCGCTGAGTGAGCCGGTAGGTGGCCACCCAATAAATTAATCAGGAGTGGACTAATACCAAGTTCTTTGGGTAGCTTGTCGCTCTTGAACATCACAAATTGTCTTTAGGCTGTTAACATCTTGGATTTCACTTTGCTGTTTAACCGCGTGGTAGAGGTCCGCCTTCGTTAGCTGGTATTAAGAGAATGTTATTTCTTGATGAACCGAAGGCCAAATGCTTACTGATACATCACACGCGCTTTTTCTAAACTCACTACTGTATTCAATGGAAGGTCCGAATCATAAACTTTGTTTGGAGCAGGTAAGTAGAGATGCCAAGTTATTTACGCAGGACGAAGTCGAGACAAACGCACAGGCAAAATTCGGTGTGTACATATATTTGCACTTGGGCCTAGTTACGCGACTGTCTTCGAACAGGGATGAAAGGTATCCCTGCCCTAGAACAGAAGGGAAGATAGACCCTATCTCCTTATAGCGCGACGATTTTGTGCCACGGGGATAGCAATAAGGTAGTAATTAATATCGCCCTATCTTGTAATTTCAGTAGTATTTACATGCCTCACGCTCTGGATCATCATTTTCTGGTCAAGAGCTGCCGCACTTTAAAGGACATTGGCCTTTTTTAGCCACGGGGCCGGGTTAAATAGTGGGGGAACAAGACCTACCGATTAGAGACCGGGTCAATTACTAAGAGACCAGGTCAACCGCTGAGGGACCGTGGTCTACCGATGAGTGAACAAAGTCTACTGATGATAAAGCGGTTCCATAAAAAATGGACCGGGGTCTGCTCTTTAAAACGAGACCGTTAATAAGGGTCTGTTGTCATCTTTAACACCCCAAAACTGTGCCCGGGAAAAGGTCTTTTTGTGATGTTTTCTGCGGGCACCTCTTGCTGGGGTTCCAATTTAATTTCGCGCCCTCATCTCTCTCGGGCACGCTCTTCCTGAAGGTGCTTTCCTTCTCCTTTAATCGCGATGGACTCTGGATTTATCACTTCGCATCAGCACTTCACCACAATACTAGGTCCACCAATGAGGAGACAATTTTTACTAATAAGGGACAATGTCACTGATGAGGGGCCACGGTTAACCGGGGACTAAGGTCCACCCCTACAGATCGGTCACTTTAAATACGGGACAGGGGTCGGCCTCTGCCGGTACCGTTTGAATGGCACACTGGTTATGATCGCCCCACCGTTTGTCTTGCAATTCCAGCTCGTTTCGAGTTTGTGTCCTCCCTGTCGTCTTCTTCTTGCCGGTACCTACCTTTTTACTCGACCGTAGGTCCGATACTTTTAGGAATCACTTTACTATTGACAAAATGCGCGAACCTGCATCCCGCGCCGCAAGACGCTAGCTGTAAGGTCTAATAAAACCTCAAGTACCATAAAAATGACATGAAAAAACGACAAAGGAGGCAATGTTTACTCATCATTATCATGCGAAAAAAAAGAAGCGATAAGAACGATGCGCAAATGTAAGAACCGATTTCGGCAAATATATCTAGATATCGGGGAGCAGTAAACGATTTACTTTTGGGTATACAAATAGGCGATTGCAGTAAATTTGAGTAATTCTGCAGGCGACGGAACCAGAAGATTGCGCTCATCGATAAATCTTCTTTGATGTTACCTTTAAAACTAGAATATGAAAGCAAAGAGAAAATCGTGATCCTGCTTGATAACGCCGTACTTGTCTGTCGCGATTGGGTTTGTCTTTCACGCGATTAGATTCGACATTTGACGCAGTTTTATACCTAGACAAAACAATAACCAGCTTAGATTTCTTTACAGCATTAAATGTTTTTTGGATCCTATTTAACTGCAAATTCCGGGCAAAATCATGAAGATGTTAACTATTTTGTTAAAAGTCATGAGTTTTATTTATACAGTTAAACAAAACATCGTTGGATTTCACTTAACAAGTAGTTTTAAGTCCGCAAAAGGAATGGTGATAGTCTGAACAACAAATTATATAGTACAAACTGCGGTTTGATATTGATAAAGTGATACATTTATTGTAATTCCGCGAAATGTGTCAAGAAATGCCTAACTAAGTAAAGTAATTAGCCAATAATTAAAGTTCATACATAATCATCATTTTTTGTATACTTAAGGGTTAAATACGTCGTTTGATTCGAGGTACAGAACCCAATGAGAATAAGCTCAGAAGAAACCCTAAATGAAGAGGGAGGAGCTCTACGCGAAATGCGATCATCTTGACATGCGGCAGCTAAAATTATTGACACACTTGTTTTCGCTAGCGAGCACTCACTGCCAACTCCATTTGTAAGCTTTTCTGTCATGATGAATTACCACCTAGAGCAGAATCATATTGACATAAGCGAATCACAACAGTTCATTTGGCCAAAAAATGTTGTACCAATTTCATATGGGACAGTTTATCCAACAACAAAGTGATCCTGCGGCACATGATGTACCAATGATAAAGAGAAATTGAATCAAGAAAGTTTGATCTGCTATCAGGAAAAAGGTGACCATAACCTCTTGGTATTTAAGCAAACAATGTAAATCTAATGAAAAATAAAACACACTAACTGTTTGCGTAAGGTGCGAGACGATTGCTTTCTTTAAGTGTCCAGTAAGTCCTTTTCATTCCAATGTCCGCCCTTGGTCACTTTTTAGCCAATCAAGTGCGGCGTTGGTGCGCGTATAAATCTTAATCGCACCGTAGTTGCAATTAGTGACCTAATTAAGGAGTGAATTTGTCATACGCCTTTTGACCTATGATTGGGATAGGCTATATCGCACTTATTATGACGTCTAAGGTATGCCTAGCGATACCAGGGAAGCAACAGCTAACAGAGCGCTTTACAATCCTTGTGACATGAAATGTACACCTACCATTTTTTACAAAACACAAAAGTTAGGACAGGATATTAGCTCTTAATACGACGTGTGAGATACATCTAGAGTTCCTTACAGACGCACTGATTGGCCTATGAATTTTACTTAGTGCGGCGTGTAAGGTGCCTCTGTCCTTTTTAGGTAGGCAGGAGGTGGCAGACTTTATTGCACATAGTTTGATATTTAAGGTACACCTAGCACTGTTTACACACATAAACGCACGGACAAATAATTCTGAATTTTATTTATTTGGCAAGTTTGTGAGCAATTGAGCTGTTGTAAGGATGTTTTGTGCATAATTGGTCAAAAAATTGCACTGTTTAAATTCTACGTTTCGAGCTGGATGCTACTAATTATCATTTCTGTTCCCTACACTCCGCCCC